AAAAAAAAAAAAAAAAAGGAAGTAGTCCTCTTTTATTTTTTATTTTATTTTTTATCTGTTGATTAGGGCGGAGGAAAGTATTGTTGGGTTGGGTTCGTACCCGCGTTTTCCCTCCCACCCACCCCTTTGCATGCATTTCCGGGTTGGTACAGTGACACGTCAGCTACAGTGACACGTCAGCAGTGCCACGTCAGACACAGTGACACGTCAGCTACAGTGACACGTCATCAGGCCACGTCAACAGTGACAGGTCAGCTAGGTGACAAGTCAGCAGTGCCACGTCAGACAGGGACACGTCAGACAGTGCCACGTAAGCAGTCAGCTAGGTGACAAGTCAGCAGTGCCACGTCAGACAGGGACACGTCAGACAGTGCCACGTAAGCAGTGCCACGTCAGACACAGTGCCACGTAAGCAGTGCCACAGAGTGCCACGTCAGACAGTGCCACATAAGCAGTGCCACGTCAGCAGTGCCATGTCAGACACAGTGCCACGTAAGCAGTGCCACTTCAGCAGTGCCACGTCAGCAGTGCCACGTCAGACACTGCCACGTCAGCAACATGACGGGCCTGCCAGGCCAACTGGCCAATGAGCCTATTGCCGACTACAAAAAGCGCTTCCAGGCTCAGCTCGCTGCAATCGAGGCTGAGGAACAACGCCAGCTGGCAGTCAAGGCTGCCCAGCTACAGGCTGAAGAAGCGGCAACAGCAGAGAAGCTGCGGCTACAGACGGAAGCAGACTCAGATGCCCAGCTCGCCGCAAGGAAGCCCAGGATCTGCTGCAGCGGCATGAAGCCAGCAGCATCGACAAACTCAAGTTCTGACACTTTCAACCGAACGGCGACGAGGCAACACCGGAAGAGCAGCATAAGGAGTTCATGGCCAAGCTCGTGACCAGGTTGGTTTATACTTGTAACCACCTACAGTCCGAGCTGGGGAACCTCCAGTGGGCCGTGCGGAACCATAAGACTCAGCACGAGGATGCCACACGGGCACTGGATGCCCGTGTACTGGACCTGGAACAGGCTGTACCAGGACCAAATGCTGGGGCTTCCAGCAGTGCATCCTCTAGCCGCCAACTGTAGGAACGCGTTGACCACGTAGCGGCAATGCTAGGAGACATAAGTGCCTTCACAGAGCCGGCCACCATCAGCCAGCGGTTCGAGTTGCTGGACACCAAGRTCAGTCAGCAACAGCAGACCGACCACAGCCACAACAACAGCTCGGCGAGGCCATACAAGATGCCGACGTTTCGGATCGAGAAATTTGATGACTACACACATCAAGACCCGGTCGTCTGGTGGCAAGGATTTACAACGGAGTTGGGGATTCACGAGGTCCCTGACCATCTGTTCATCAGTGCTCTGTTCATCAACACTAAGGGAGGATGTCAGATCTGGCTCAGCCACATGGCAACCATCCACGGCGTCCAGGTTTCAGACCTGTACAAGAAGGTCTCCTGGGAAGATATGACAAAGGAATGGAATAAGTGGTTCATCGTCGACGACGCCCCGACACTCGCCATCAACCGCATCTTCACGATGGCTCAAGGGAGCACACCGACACGTGACTGGCTCACGGATTGGCAGAAGATCGTGGCAATGCCCGATTTGGACTTGCCATTTCCGCATTTGCGGCGTGAGTTCTACAACAGGTCATGCGCCGCTCTCAGCCTCGCACTTGGTGATCACGAGCAGTACAACACTTTCGCAGAGATCATCAATAAGGCGAGAGAGATCATCAAGACTAACAGGGCGGCTGCGCACGAGAAGTCCACGTGGCAGCCAACCTATGTGGAAAAGGTACGAACTGGTCCACGACAGCAGCAGTTTGCTGCAGTCCAGTCGGATAGTGGAGATAACCCAGCAGCCACTCCAGCATCAAGTGACGGAGATCAGGTGGCTGCTGTCCAGCCGCAAAGCAACAACAAGTCCCGCAACAATGGGAAGGTGAAATCCGCATCGCAGGCCGGAAATGGACAGCCAGTACAAGTTCCATGGGTCAAGTTCGGCTTGACCGAGGCGGAGTACAAGGTCCGCGGCAGCTACGGCAGCTGTTATGGGTGCAACAGCACCAAGCACAAGACCTCCCTGTGCCAGGATCAGGGCAAGGAGGATGTGCGACCCTGCCTCAACTCGGGAAACTGAGTTCCGCAAAAGGTGAGGCGACTCCACCTTCTACTCCGCCAGGTTCGGCCGCCTTGCTAGGGGCCTCCTGCACATCTGGGGAGAATGCGAATGTCGCAGGTTCTCGTTACACTTACGAGGACTATGCTGTCCACTTGGTTCCACCGCAGGACCAACCGCTCCACGTGCAACAATCTACCGCATGCACGGTTTCATCACCATCGTCAACCGATTTGGCAGCTTCGCCGCCATCTATCATCGGGGATTCATCGTCATGGTCAAGACTTGAGGTGCTCAACCCACTGACGTTCACGGACTTCCAGTGGATGCCCGTTCCCCCAACCGGACGATTGTCGAAACCGCATTGCAATGTGCTCATGGCACAACTGCGGGATTACTTGCACACTGCAGTACCAGCTCCGTTGATGGACGCCGGAGTAGAGGTTGTCGACCTTCACGCTTACATTGCGAAGATCGACCGCGAGTTCAAGACGCAACGGTACGACGACATCAACGCAACATTGCTATATGTACGCATTCAAATCGAAGAGGCGACCTGCAACGCCTTGATCGATTGCGGAGCATCTCGCAACTACATCAGTCAGGACTTCATGGTGCGCGCAGGCCTTGGCCCACGTGTCCGGAGGAAGTCCCAGCCTATGCAAGTCACTTTGGCAGACGAGCGGTGTCGTTTGATATTCTGGACACCAAATTCGACAGGATCTTGGGCATGTCATGGCTGCGAAGCGAGGATCACCCGGTGAACTTCTTCCACCGCACCGTTCCCATTCGTGATCGGAATGGAGTATTAGTTCCATGCACGATACCTCTTCCTCATCCTTCGATTAGCTGCCACGTGGTATCCGCCGCAAGCATGCGAGCTTCCATCATCAGAGACGACATCGAGGAGATGGGGGGGTGTTTTCTCCACGCCCTCCCGCCCTATGACGCTTCCTCGACGGACTCACCTTCGGATCCACGCATCACCGAGCTTCTCGACGCCTACAGCGACGTGTTCAAAGGCCCGCATGGAGTAGTACCGGATCGACCCATCCGCGACGAGATCATCCTCGAGGACGGGGCCGTACCTCTGCGCGGTTGCATCTACCGAATGAGCGAGGAAGAGTTAAGTGTGCTTCGGGCACAACTTGACGACCTTCTGGAAAAAGGTTGGATTCGGCCTAGCTCATCGCCATACGGTGCTCCTGTTCTCTTCGTCCGGAAGAAGAACAAGGATTTGCGGTTGTGCATCGATTATCGCAAGCTCAACACGCAGACGATCAGAAATGTCGGCCCTCTCCCACGCATCGACGAACTTCCTGGGCGACTGGGCGACGCCAAGTTCTTCTCCAAGCTCGATCTCAAGTCAGGATATCACCAACTCGAGATTCGCAAGGAGGACCGTTACAAGACCGCGTTTAAGACGCGATATGGGCATTTCGAATGGCTGGTTATGCCATTTGGCCTTACGAATGCCCCGACCACTTTCCAAGCGGCTATGACAACGGAGTTCCGACACATGTTGGATCGATACGTACTTATCTATCTCGACGACATCCTGGTGTACAGCCGGAGTCTGGAGGAGCATGTGGAACACCTGCGCACCGTTTTGGAGCGGCTACGACAGGCCAAGTACAAAGCCAACCGTGACAAGTGTGAATTCGCGCGGCAGGAGCTGGAGTACTTGGGCCATTATGTTCCGTAAGGCATCCGCCCGCTCGCGGACAAGATCGAGGCCCTACGAGTATGGCCCGAGCCCACCAACACCACGGACGTTCGTTCATTCATGGGATTGGCGGGCTACTATCAGCGATTCATCACCAGATACTCCAGGATTGCTGCACCTATGACGAGGTTACAGTCGCCAAAGGTGCCATTCGTATTCGATGACGACGCACGCCGGTCATTCCAAGCACTTAAGACGGCTATGCTCATGGCACCCGTCCTTAGCATCTATGACC